TATTTATCAATGTTTATAAAAAGTATTGCCATCAACAAATGAAGTTTTCTGTAAGTCTCTTGCCAAACTGAGGTGTCATATTCAACATAAACATTGATTGACTAACCTATCAGCTGCTGGACTCGTGTTGAAACTGAGTGGAGAGTCCATTATTATCTCTCTTTCTCTCACATATGTAAATATTCTCAGATGGTGTGTATCTGTAGAAGAGACAAAATGAATTAAAAAGACGAGGGAAACTATACTTAGCCTTAGCTGGTTTGGTTTCGTTTCGTCATCTGATGGACTTTATCAAGGCAAATGATTTTATTTTGCAACAAGCACCTATTTGTAAGTTACTCAAAATTTTTAAATTTAAAGACGCTCATGAATAATTGTCAGGTTAACTGAAATATTTAGGTATTAGACATTACATTACGTCATTTAGCATCCTCAAAAAGAATTTTTTTTTTCTCTCTTTACTTTCATTTTCTTTTTTTATGTTGAAAAAACAAAAGAAAATGGCTAAATCCATCATTTCAGCCTTTGAAGATGTATAACACAAACATCCATCTTATACCCTAATCCAAACAATATTCTTAAAGGAAAAAAAATGAATATATCCTAACAGGGGTGCTGGAACACTGTGTTTGCACAATACATCAAAATATGCATTTGATGATTGTGGGCCTCATCTTGGTACACTGACTCAAGATGAACAATATCATTTAACAGATTACCACCAATGTATAGCTGCTGTTACGTGCAATAAAGTAACCTCTAACTGCTACTTGGGTGACTGCTCAACTTGAAGCAATTTGGTGGAAGATTTTGTTTTATATATAGAAAAAATTCTAAAAAAAAAAATAATCTTGATAATGAAGAGGTAAAACTGACACTTTTACAACTGAATGACCCTTCCCCATCTTTCTGTTATCTATTACATCCAGATATATTAATTTAAATTATTTTGATATTTTTAGTTTAGTTGATCCAATAACTGACACTGGAAGAACTTATAAACTTTCAAAAGTTGAGATGGAAAATGCTTTAAATATTTTAGGAAAGAATTTCTTGACATAACCTTAAAGATACAATCGAGGTTGATCATCACAAAAAATTTGAGTGAAAAAGTAGTTTGCATATCCAAATTTTTATTTTTGTATAAAACATATATCCCAACAAGAAAAATAAGTTTGCTTGTTAATCTCTTTGTAAATGTTAAGAATCTTTTTTAGATATTCATTTCACTTTTTCAGATCAAAACTTAATATTTTATATATAAAAAACCATGAAAATTTGATTGTTTCATGCATTAGATGCACCATGTCAAATATCAACAAAAATTTGTTAACCGTTAAGATCATTTGTTGTATATTTTTTATATTATTTTATGTTGTCTTAACATTAGTTCATGACACTTTTTAAATTATTTTCATTATCACTTTTTCATATTAATCAGCATTCAAAGAGATTTCTAAAGATATTAATACTTGACCATATTGGGAGAGATGAAAATGTTAGCATATAGTGGCAAATATCAAAATCCACCATTTTGAATTTGGCTCAACTCAGTAAAATAATTGTAACTCAGGCCACAGTCAAAAGTCCACCACAAAATTTTGTACATATCTTGCCATAAGGCAGACAAATTTGTTGTCAAATTTAAAAAAAAATTAAAGATACTCTTTTTGAGAAATTAAATGTTAAGGTGAAATTATCTTATTTGACCTTTTAAACAAAAGAATAAATACATCACCTTTTAGATCTATCCAGGTACTTTAAAATGGTATATAATTTAGCTTTGTTGAGGTTGGGGCAACTGAGATATTGATATTTAAATTTTGTGACTACTTTCTAAAATTCACCTTTTTGGCAAGGGTCATATCTTGGAATCCCTTTGACCTAGAGATGTAAAATAGGTACCCTTTAAAATCTATTGGGAATCTCTATAAGTATACCAAATTTGAAAAAAAAAATCTGTCGGTGATGGTCAGACCCGTGTTGATTTGACATGAAATGACTCATATAAAACAGTTACCCACTTATAGCCTGTTTCATGCAGAGCAATTTTTAAAAATGGGTATTTGTTTATCTTGGGCAAAAGTGAAAACAATGGAAAAATCTAGATGATTTACATTGGTGCAACTGGGAAAGAATTTGAAGTAGGATATGCTAACCATTTGCTATCATTCAAATACAAAAGATATAAAAACATGTCAAAATATATGTGGAAACTAAAATGAAAGAGAAAACACCATTAATAGAATGTTATCTAATAAAAAAGATAGATTGCAATTTGTTTTTGTTTCTATGTATGGAGGAGAAACTAAAAATCATGGAATGTGAATGGTTTATTAAAAAGAAGGAACAAAATTTCAAACAGTTTTTAATTTGACACATCCCTTTTGAAAAATGTGAAAAGAATGATACATCTTGGGAGCATCCAAGATAAATTGGAAAAATTGTTATGCAAGAAATAGGCTGCAAATGCTTAAATTAATAAGAGTTTTACATGTATTAAAAACCTCTTTTTTTAGTATCTAAAATTAGATGCTACTATATAGGTAAGAAAAGGAATATACAAATATGTATGGGCATGTAGCTGTGTTTAAAATGTTGTCATTCCAACCATGACACCTTCATTCAAATCTCACCAGGATCAATTTGTCAAGGTGGTGACTCATTGATAATATCAACCTTGTGAGATGATCATGTGCAGCACCATTAGGAAATGCCTGAAAACCACACCATGGCTTGATCCAAGCCTTGTGAGTGAAATTGAATAAATAGAACTGTTTGGAAGCTATTGACAGTTGTTCTAGCACAAGGTACCTGTGAATAAGAGTTGAGTTTGTTCAACTACTGATCACATCAGATTGTAACTGCTCAGCATAGTTGCAGTTTAAACCACAGGTGGATTCTGTGGGTGACAAAAAATGTGCTTGATCTGGCATCTGCAACAAGAATTAAATAAACCTCACCTAGGACAGGCATACTTGGAAACTAAAAGCCAGCCATTTATTTTATATAACCACCCTCAAGAATCCATTTAGGGACTAATCCAAAAATGTAATTCACACTAACCATGATCTTCAGATGATGATATATATATATATATATATATATATATATATATATATATATATAAACACAATACCCTCATTGCATTGACTGACATCTGGCAAATCTAATCAATAAACTGAGTGTTCATATTGATGTGAACACTGAAACATTAGCAAAATTAACCACACCTGTTAATCAAATTGCTACTTTCTAAATATACTATAACAAGTTTGACATATACTTGCTGAAACTAGTATCAAACTAACCAAAATCTTTTTTTTTCTTTAATCAGAGCATTGCAAAATGCAAATGTTTATAGCTGAATAAAGAATATTTTTAAGACACATTTGGTTTCTTAAAATTTTAAAAAGTTAGTAAAAATTTTAAATTCATATATGGCAAGTCAACTTCAAATAATGATTTTTCTATATTATTAAAATATGTGAATTCATGTTACTAAAATGAAAGATGCACTCTAAAATTTTCATAGATTCTGCAAGTTTTATCCTTCAGAGGTAACTGATCATAGCCAATTTACTATCAAATGAGAAAATGACTGTGTATTGCATTTTATGCTGTTACAGGGAATATAAAAACAAGATACTCTCTAAAAGTAAAGCTGGAAACACATCAAAAAGCTATAGACTATGAAGTCGGGTATATTTTGAATATGTGTTGAAAGAAAAAGGAGTTACCAACAATAAAAACAGTCAGCACAATAGAGCAACAGTGGAGAATAAAGTGATTGAAAGAATCAGTGCACATGTTAGGTTGTAATAATCTCCTCAGTAGACTCTGCTAAACTGAACCACATACAAGAGCTTTTAATCAGGAAAGAATATACATTAGGTTTAAGGTTCCCAAATTGTGTTATTTGTGCTGTGAGGTATAAGGATTGCTCAGATCAAGATGTAAAATCCATCTACTCTGGTTATGAAACAACATCACAAGAATTAAATAATAATTTACATGTTGCAATTTAACACAATTTTCACAGAATGATGGCAGTTATATGCACATATTGGGTAATAACTGTAAGTTTCTGCACAAGGGTAAATAAACTGCAGCCATTTGCATGGGTTACACAATATTTCAGTGTTTCAAACTATTAATGAGTGACTTCATAATTGTGCAATTATGGGTTGCAATTGTTACAACTGCTTTGCATGAGGTCCTCTACCAGTGTTGGAAAAAAGGGGCTGTACCTCAGGACATGAGAGATGCCAAGATCATCACCCTCTACAAGAACAGGGGTGAGCGAAGCGACTGCAACAACTACAGAGGCATCTCGCTACTCGGCGTTGTGGGCAAAGTCTTCACTTGAGTCATCTTGGTCTGCCTGCAGAAACTCACTGAATGTGTCTACTATGGGAAATTTAACACACACACACATATATATATATATCTCAAACCAACAAATATCAAGAGTAAATTCTTGCTCAGAGCCTTTCCCCCTGTTTTTCTGTTTGATTGAAAATGGTTAAACAAACTTTCTATGCTCATTCCACATTCTTGGTCTAAAAGTGAGGCTTCTCATCCCAAAGTTGTATTTTCTACAGACTTAATCATTAGCTTTTGGAAGGAGATCACAAGATTTTATCAAATACTATATTTTAATTTTAGCTATAAAGTAACCCTTTAACATTCAACACAACCCCATAAATACTGATTCTCAAAGTCTCAATCTCCGTCATGAGTCTCACTGTTTGCATGACTTTCTGCATTATTCTGCAATGATGTTGTCATATATTATGGCAGAGTATATATGGGGTAGGTAGAACATTGAGAGCCATTATTTATGTGGTGGGTTTGGGCAGGTTGAATGCTAAAGGGTTAAATTAATATTGTCAATGTGGCTGTTCCAAATTTTGTTTGGAAAAAGTTAATTTGTCCAAATTTGGAATGTCAATGACTCTTTTCAAAGTTATACATGGTTGTTTTCAGTTTCATATTGGCTTGCAGCCATATCATGTTGAAACACCAGTTCTCGTATGATCACTGAAATTAAGCAATTTTGAGCCTGGTCAGTACCTAGATGGGTAACCACTTGAGAATACCAGGTGCTGTAAGCTTGGATGTGGGGGCGGTGTAATGGATAACAGCTCGGAATTGGAGAACTGGGTTCCAATTCCAGTCAGGTTTGTTATATTCACTTACCTTGGGAAAGGTACAAATCCACTTCTTCTCCCTCAGCAATGAGTTAAGTAATCATTATCTTCACAAAAATTCTTAAAATCTGATATTTTCTGGCTTTAAATAACCAGCAAAAAACAAATCAATCATTCATCTTTGTATGATGTTTCAGTTATTAACAGCATTCTCTTTCTCTGATGATCTATTTCCCAAAGGAGAATATCTGGATCAACTATATTCTCACCTGAGTGTATACCATTCAGTTAAACATGTTTCCTTACATTTTAAGTGTTTTAGTTCTATTTAATTCTGGTACATGAAATTGAAAATATTTAGGTAGTAGATTTTAGTTATTTAAAAGCTGGTTAGTATACTAAACACCTTTTTATGCACTGAAAGACTATTTTTAGCAAAGTAAGTGAAGTTTAAAAGTCTATGAAGATGTATCCCTCTCTCTCTCTCTCTCTTCCCCCTCTATTCCCTATCTTTCCCTCCCCTCCCTCCCTCCCTCTATATCCTCCCCCTTGTCTGTCTGTCTCTCTCTCATTCCCCCATCTCCCCCACCCTATCACTTTTTTTTTCATTTTCCTTTAAATCAATTCAACCAAAACAATAATGACACAAAGATGTAAAGGTCTACTGAAAATGTTCTCTCTCTCTCTCCATTTAGGTATTCCCTCAAAATTGAAGAAATTGGAACAAATTGATCAATCTATTCAACTGTGAAAATTACTCGGCATTTTCTGTCTTACTGAACATTTCATACATCTCAAAAATCAATCCACCAGAAAATAATGAACTTTATTCTTTCTTTCCTTTTCTCTTTGAGGAAACAAGTTAGTCACCTTTAGCTCTATGAAGTTTTTAGTAGAATTTCACTCACAGTATTATGTACTTGGGAGAGGAGAAAACTCATCACACACGTGTTTTGTGTGTGTGTGTGTGTGTATATATATATATATATATATACACACACACACACAAAGAAAAACAAAAAACATTGGTGCAACCAACAGTTTGCCAAAACCTAAGCTCTTATCCAGATGTAGTCTCAAATAAAACAACAAAACTGAAAAAGAGAAAGAAGGCTTGAAAGCAAACTTACCTACACCATAAAGTGCCCAAAGCCTAGATTGTCTATACCAAGCCAAAAACACTTACCAACATTAAATCCATTAAAAGGACAGCTCTAGTTGTGACTTTAGTTTTGCATACACGCTATCTTCCAACAAATATATATATATATATATATATATATATATATATACACACACACACACATAGGTCAAAAGAACAAAATCATTTTCTTAATATTAATGAATTGATAAAGATATTTACTGAGTAAAAGCAACTTTGGCACAGTCACTTGTGTTGACCTACTCCAATTTTAGAATTCCTAACATTACCATTTGTGACTGGATACCAAAAAGAATAAAATATAGAAACCTGGTTTCTGGAAATGTGGATGCTACTTAACACCTGATCACACTAAGAGACATATGGTTACAGAGCACACAGCTGATGAAATACCAATTCTCATACAAAATCATGTAGGTACCCTACACTTTACTCAAATGATGACACATGAGTAAAGAAGTTCTGGTTGCTTGACAAAGCCAGTTTTCCTACACAACCAGTTAAGGAGTAACTAGTGAAGAACAGTCACATTAATGATAGTTTGTACGTTTAGTGCATTAACCATTGATTTATAAATATTCTTCATTAGATTTAGTGCCACGGTAAACAAACTCATTGACTAACCTTTTCTCTTGTTGACCTTGATCTTTACTGTATCCTAGTGGCTTTGTACCTGGCTAAGTTTACTAAATAAGTAAACATATCCCAAACACTTTAGCTACTATTGGAAATTGAATTCAAATTAGATTATAAACAAAAGTTCACTTAAGCACAAATACCTTTGGGGAAAGGTATGAATCCATCACTTCTCTACTCAGCTATAGGTGAAATAGCAGTTTTAGTCTGGGTTCTCTTACCTTGAGTGATAATTAGTCCAAAAAAAAATCACTACTCTGAATTTAAAATCATAGAGAATGCAATGTGAAATCCACTATCTTTCTCCAAAAGTTGTAGTAATTCAGTTAAGAGAAAAAGGAATCTATGGATGGCCATGATTGAATATACCCTGAAAGGATATCACATTAAAAAAAAAATAGCTACTACTTGAACTTTAATTCTAATCAGATAATTAACAGAGGATCAAATTACGTCCATTAACTATCTGTAAATTTACCTAAGCTGTAATTGTTTCTATATTTAAATTTTATTTAGATATTTTCTTAAATATAAAAATATATATTTTTTAAAAACTTTTAGATTAAGTTATAAAACTAAGAATTTTATCCTTATCAATTTTTCATAATTGATAATGATACAAATGATAGGGTGTGCGATTAAATAAACATGTTATTCACAAAAATTAGACATTTTTGCATGTTCACTTGATACTGTGTTGCCACATTTGAAGAGTTTAAAAGAATTAACTAATTGCTGAAAGATTATAAAGTTGTAACTTTAATTTTTTTTTTTTTTTTTTTGCAATATAATTGGCTTTTGGGGTTTTGCATGGATATTTAAGCATCATGAATTTTTATTTTATCTGAAAAAAAATGATTTTATGTGTTACTTTTACTACTTCTTTGGTTGGTCATTTCTTCAGCTTTCTTTAGACTGACTACCAATGTGCTACATTGGTAATCAGTGTTAAATAATTGTTTACAGTATCACCAATCTTTTAATTTTCTTTAAAATACTACAATATTAGGGATGTGTCAAACTACCGGTTGTCATAGAAAAGAATGCTGAAAAATTGACCAACCAAATGTGACAGAAAAAAAAAATCTGTTATAATTATTTTCATGATATATTTAAGAAAATTTCATTTTACATTTTCATCTTGCTCTGAACATAGTATCATCTTATATTTTAACTATTTTTTTGTATTCCTACAACTTTATTCAAAGATAGAACTACTTTTTTTAATTAATTTAATAGTGCTGTCCATATGAAAGTATTTCAATGTTAGAAATAGGTCTTTTTGCAGTAATGCAGGTGCCCCTCATGGCTCTCTTTGGAACTACACTATCCCTAATTTTCATCAATGACATCAGTTCTCAACTCTATATCTATGCTAATGATACAACTATTTACTCCTGTATTAATATTAAGTCTGATCAGGTAAATAATATAAAATTGGCAGCTAATCTAAACACTGACCTACAATCTGTTAACTGGGGTAAGGAATGACTTGTTAATTTTAACGCTTCCAAAATGAAACTGCTCTCTATGAATCATCTGAGAGACCTCTTTCTGCCTTTCATAAGCATGGCTGATGCTAACCTCCTGGAAAGTGACACATTTCATGCTGACATGAAGTGGAAAGATTATATTGAATCAATTGCTAAGTCTGCTGCTAGGAAAGTTTGTTCACTGTGTTGTGCTAGACAATTTTTCTAGAATCTATCTTACAAATGTATAAGTCTATTATTTGTTGATCCCTTGAATATTGTAGTCATATATGGGCAGGTGCCCAAGATATACATTATCCTGACCTGTCATCTTGCCTTCAATAACTTTCACACCACTGTAATATAGATTTCCTGTGCCTTTTCTATAAATACTTTCATAGTAGTTGTTCTGACAAACTTTCCTCTAGACTATGAATTTAAGCAAAGTACTAGATTGGTGGCAAGGTCTCATCATTTTACAATTGAAATAGCTTGCTGTAACTAACTATGCCAACAGTTTTTTCTATCTGACTTCTCACTAGTGGAAATTGCTTCTAGCTTCCCAGTCAACTTTGATCTTCAAAAATTTTAATCTAGTATCATTATCTTCTGTCTTTTAATTTTTGTTCTTTTGTTATTCTCTTATTCTCAATAGTATTTTCCTTTCTTTTTTTTCCACATAGCCTCTAACACTCAGTAACCTCCTGTATTTAGGTGGCTTTAATGCCTTGCTTGAGGTGAAATGATTTTTTTTAAAAATACCTTGACCATTGTGGATAATATCAGGCTTTGTCATTTTTGGCTATCCATAATTTTTTGTCCCATGAGATGTTTATAAATTTCAGTAGGTTTTCATTTTATATGAGTAAGAAAAGTTAAGCATGTATCATGACATGTTTTGTGCATAAAGCAACACACTGGTTCATTTCTCATCCATTAGTTGACTTATTTGAAATTGTGTTTTTTTTTGTTTTTTGTTTTTTTCTCTTCATTGTGCTTGGGATAGTCACAAACATCATAGCTACAAGCCTAGTCCTGAAGTTGCAAAGCCTGGCCTACATGTAACTAGCTAATGTCACTCCAGGTTTTACAATTTTTATTTGTTTTTTTTCTTTCTACACCCTACCACTTTCATATGTTTACAGGTTAAACATGTCATTAAACTTGCAGTATCATCCAGTTGTATTTTATTCTACTGAATTTGATATCATTTTGAACTAGTGATTAGGTTTTAAGGATTTTTTAAAAAAATCATTAAAATTTCTAATTTTGAGTATTTTTTTAATCATTTTTTAAAATTTAGATTATTGGAGTAATATTTTGTTTTAATAATATAATATGTATGAATTTGTTTCAGTTTCTAATAGTAAAATGTTTTTTTAAATACAAGAGATTTTTGAAACAAAAAAGAGAAAAATCCAGTGCTCTGAATATTCCTGGTTCAAAAGAATTGGCCACTTACATAACATTGTTACAGTTTGGTATTTTATTAAGATTATTTACATTGTTCAGACTGTTGTCCTTATTTTTATTGTCATGTTCATAACATTTTGGCCATTGTATGCTCTGGCCTTCAGGTGATTGTAATTTTGAACTGAAATTCTGAACTGAACCCTTTATTTCATCATCCGGAGTAAATTGTTCTAGTTCTTGTGCCATGGAACTCTTCCAGATGTCTCGGTTATCTCTCTT